AGGTTTCACAAAAACTGAGCCAAAATTGCGTTTTATTTTGAAGGGAAGATTTCATTGTTACTAATTTCAGGTGGATGTTAGCGTGACGCTGCCTGCAGTACCTGCACAAAAAATAAAAAAATCAGAACGTATTATTTATGATAAATTGCCAGAAATTAAGCATATGTTTCGTGAGCCGGAAAAACGCCCGCCGCAGATTGTTTCCAGCACATTTGTTGTTCTCTGTGCTATCCCACTGCTCATCCTGCTTATTCTGGTTAGTTATAGCAAAAAATTAGCTATGATATTTGTTTGTACGTGCGTGTCTGAGTATGTTTTAGACCATTCAACTTATGGGCCTGAAAGCTAGGAAGCTTCGGTTTAGGAGACTTTTTACATTGCATGTAAATAAAGTAAAAGGCAGTACGGGCCTCAAAGGCCCTGTGAGGGAATGGAGGAGAATAGTATCCAGGGGCCGGAACAGCGGCCCAGTTAGCGAAGGGTATAGAGCGACAGGGGCCACACCAACCCTAAATGCAGTAGGAATAAGTAGGGGGTAGAACGGAGGCCATTCAGAATCCATGGAGATAGAGAGGGAAGGAAAATAAAAAACGTCCAGATTGTTCTGGCGCGTATTTTCAGAAACAGAGTGGCATGTGAAAAAGTCATGTAAAGAGCTGTATGTAAAAAAGCCTGCCTGTGTTTCATCCCCAAGCTGTAATCACAGATAGTAGGAAGCGTGGTTAGGGCTGGGAATCATCAGTACAGCCCCCTAAGCTTATTAGCTGCTATCGAACAGGGAGAGCAAGATAGCTGGAATCAACTACTGGGACTTGCTTTTTCCCGAGGCATCTAGTAGTGGAAGCGAGGCGGAACTTCCGGCTTATAGTAAATCGTATGTGACTTTATTCTGTGCCAATTTTCATTTATGCGATGAAGATCTTTACACGGGAAATTTTTTGTCCATGTCCAGCGTTTGGATGGATCGACTTCCCCGTAATGAATTTCTTGAAAGAAAGCAAATTAATTGAGTATCAGTTGACGCGTTGAAATTTGGACGCCATATAGCTGGGCTTGGTAATGCGGCATTTTTTTCATTATGTTTTCTTGCATTTTTGAATAAATATAAAGTTGATTTTTGCAGTGGTTGCGTATTGGAATTAATTTTGGAAATTTGCCAGCGTCACCCTTCGTTTTGCTTTTCCATTGCGGCTTAGCAGGTTTGACTTCCGAAATTTTTTCTTCAAATTTTTTAATTCGATGTTCTTGTGGGGGATTTCCTGCTGCATTTCTCGATTTACACATAAAACGTGCTTCAATTGCTGATAAACTGACATTTCATCATGGCTTGCGTTTATGCCATTGACGACCTTCCGTGGAGCAGTGCGTGGAATGCATCAGTTTGTTGCCTGCCTGCTGGTGGTGATTTTTTTTTTTCGTACCCCTGCTTTCGTTCTTCTTTCTGCTAAAATAGAGCAAGTGATGTATCGCTTTCTCGGTTCTTCGGCTTATCTGATTCTTCGCTTAAATATTTAATATCCTGCTTATATTTTTCCGTAGCAAATTTGTGCTTGTAAAAGAGAGGTTCCATAAGGCGGTGGAGCAAAAGGGGGAAGAAGTGCTGAACTCTGAAGTTATAGTAGGGCGCAAGAGTTTCACCCCAGCAGTATTGTCTTTTTTGAAGGAATATTTGGATTATACTTCGTTTTCTGGCTACGGTTAAATATGTTTGAAACACTGAAGTATTTGTCAATGATAGGCGCTGTAACGTTTATTTCCGGCAATCGTCTGCTAAGAACAATTGCAGCCAGACGGAAGTAAGTTGCTTTGTGTTTCTGTAAAGAGCACTTTAAACAGCCTACTTTTCCTGTAAAGCTTCGCTTTCGGTCCACTGTTCTCAGTAAAGTAGGCACAGATAACTTTTGGCGACACACAGGCCTGATTTACATACTAAAGCTCGCGAGCCGCTTTTTAACAGATCCCAGACAGTAATGCGTCAATCTTGCCCATGCGACCATGCGTTTTTGCACTAAATTTGATGCAGTCAGATCGTTAACAGTATAAATGGTTGTTGCTTTACAGTTTAACACGTGCAACTTATGTGCCTGTGTTTTGGCCTTTTCTTACGTGCTGGGGAAAGGGGCTGTCCTTGGTGCGCGCCCCTATCTATTTATTTTCATGAGAATGCAGTGACGTGGCGGAGTACAACCGTCTTCTCCCCCGCTCCCCCCTCCTCCCGCCCCCTCCCACCCAGCCCCCTTCGTCTATTTAAGCACCACATTCCAATTGCCTCGGCGGTAAAGAGTACTTGGCCCCTAGAAGTGCTGGATTCGGGCACTGCACTGATGAGTTTCTTGCTCTCTGTGCTCGATCACGATTTTTGTAAGTGAGTAATTTCGGCATGGAAATACCGAAGGCTTTAAGTCACCTGCATTTACTTACATATACAGATTTATTCTCGTGATTTTAGCCTGGGCCGTGCTTTTATTTTCACAGAAAGACGATTAAAATTTCCAGTGAGAGCACTGAGCTGTTACGTTTGGGAAATCTCTCTGTTAGCGCCTAATAAAGTTTATTGTTCCGACGCATTAAAATGTATGAATTTTAGAGAAAAAGCGGAGTAGCTGGTATCTAAATGACGAGACGCTTTATGTAATCAGCGATGCCCAGTTATTGATATTCTGTGGTCGTTTTTTTTTTTCACATTTGGGGTTTTCCTTCTATCATTTCATTAAATTGTTAAATAGAAGGGTGTTTTTTTTTAAAACTTTAGGATAATTTTACTAATTTATTGTTGTTGTGTATCAGTTAACATCCTGGTTGTATCAAAATTTTGCACTTCTCGTTGTTATTTGCTTAACTTAAGGATTGTTATTATTTATTTTGATTGTTATCAAGTGCAGACCAAAATACATCATTTATATCCAGTGCTTCGCTTTTCAACAAGTGCAATATATTACCATCCATTTTGTGTACCACAGTTGAAGATTTGCAGTATAGATGTGAACGAAGATAAACAGAATCCTCAAATTTTCTTAATGCCAAAACTTCAGAAATTAGGATACCGCTTCAGTGCAGGTATTTTTAGGCATGTTTGATGGTTTGTTTAAATGTTTAATAAATGGTTTCATTGGGGTATTCTGTACTTTTAGTAATACAAGGAAACAAACCACCGGAAAAAAAAAATATTGCGAGAAAGCCATGGGCCTGTATGGTCTTCAGCTCGATAGAAGCTGGAAAAGTGCGAAGAAAATCCTGGGCAAGGACTGCAGAATAAATGACCAGCGCACCGAATGCCGGTGCAAAGATGCGTTTTTTGCATAGTACCCCGCAGGAATTTTTGTCGCTAACGGCACTGTTTTTTCCGGCAGATACTTTTAGCTAAAAGAATTGAGACTGGGCGCCAGCGCTGTCGGGAAGCATCTTTATAAAATTTCAGCTTTCTAGCTTTCCGAGTTAGCACTTATCCTAAAAAAACTTTCACGGGCTCATACTTGGGAGCCATGCATACCTGGGGCAGAGTTGGAGCTCATTAAGACCAACGCGAGCGGGAACTTCCCCTTAAAATTTCACTTTTCTAGCTTCTCAGGTTCCCGAGTCAACGACTTACCCGAAAAAAACATCCACGGGTCCATACATGGAGACCACGCATAACCAGGTGCCGGTTTTGAGCGCATTAATACCCACATGGATAGGGGACATCTCCTTAAAATTTCAGCTCTCTAGCTGTTCTGGTTCTCGAGTTAGCAGCTTCCCTACCAAAAACTTCGGGAGGCCCATACGTGGGTACCACGCGAGTAAGGGCGTGCATTTTGGGGATTGGAGTGCCTGCGTGCATGCAGATAAATATCTCGGAGTTTCAGCTCAGTAGCTTTTATAGGTCTTGAGATGAAAAGTCGGTACAGACGTACACATAGACACGGAGACGCCCAGACACACACACACAAACACACAGAGACCACTCATCAGTATGCGTTCTGTGTAATTCCATTCACCGAACGACTGCCTTTTAGTTATTTTACTGCCCTGCATTTTGATCTGTGCAAAAATAGTTGGAATGTTAATAGTTTAAAATTTTACGCATCGGTACGTGAAAGCTGAATCTGAAACTTCGGAGGGTGAATATCCTTCCAAAATTTCAATCCCTTTCCGGCGCTCGAGTGGTCTTTGAGACAGAACTTTCACGTGGTCGTACATGAGACCTCGGCATACTCAGGAACTGAATTCGTGTTTACGAAGCCCCCTGCTTAGGCAGAAAGCATTCTCCAGAAATTTCCATCCCCCTAGCTCTTCTGGCTCCCGAGATAATGATTTTTCCAGCTAAAATTTCTACGAGGACTTTGAAGATTTGCGGAATTATACGTGGGCAGGGGATGCCACGCTAAAATTTCAATTTTCTGGCTTTTGCAGTCTACGAAATAATAATTTCCCTACCAAAACTTTCACGGCGCCGTACGTGGTGCCCAGGGGTGAGTGAAGGCTGAATTCAAACTTGTGAGGGTAGTATATTGACAGGAGACATCGCCGTAAAACTTCAATATCTCAACTTTCGTGGTTCCCGAAATAATAATTTCCCCGCTGAAACTTTCTCGGGGCCGTAAGTGTTACCTGAGCGCGCGGGAAGGCTGAATTTAAAGGTGAAGAATTGTATGTGGGCAAGGCACTCTACTGCAAAGTTTCAGCTTCATGGTCCCGGAGATAATAATTTCTCCGCCAAAACTTTCATGGGGCTGCAGCTGATATCCGAGAGTGCGAGGACGCTGAATTTAAATTTTGCAAGGACGTACGTGGGCAGGGGGTCATTACCCTAAAATTTCGGCTTCCTAGATCCCGTGGTTCGTGAGATAATAATTTACGCACCAAAATTTTCGCGAGGCCGCAGGTGACACTCGAGAGCGCGTGAACATTGAATTTGAATTGCAAGGTTGTACGTGAGCAAGAGGTTGGTGCCTAAAAATTTCAGCTTTCTAATTTCCGTGGTTCCCGTGACAATTTTACCTGCTAAAACTTTTATGGGGCCGTACGTATCACCCGCGGGTATGGGGAGGCTGCAGGGTCACACGTGGATAGGGGACATTCTCCTAAATTTCAGCTTCCTA